ATTATCTGTAAATGCAATTTTTCCAAAATATTTTTAAATACTGATTTGTTTTCTTCTAATTTATTCAGATTTTTTTTTGTATTTTCAACTGTTATGTATTTATTTCTACGAGTTTCTAAGTTAATTTTTATTCAATTATTGTATTTTAATTAGGCAGAAATTTTCAGATTGCAGACTTATATAAATATTAATGCATTATTTCTTTATTCTCTTAGGAAATATTAGCTAATATAAATATTAAATTCAACTTAAGAGTTAGCTAAATTCGAATAATAAAGTTTTTTTTTGTTTTGTACTGTAGAAAGCGTATTAAAAACAATTTAATCTTTTTGTCAGTAATCTGAAGATTTCACAGACAAAAGGTGAAGAATCATCCGACCTCGAAATTGATAAGGATACTGATGTTGAAGCTAAAATATACGAGGAGGAGAATGACTATCGTAACGACGACGATCCTCTACCACCGAGATTATCAGACTTAATATCTGCAAAACCGAGATATATCGTTCCAAAAATAGATGGCATCTTACAGAACGACCTACAACCACCCCCGCTGAGACCAATATCGATACAAACTCCGGTAGTACCAATATCGATGCCAACGTCCTTTGTACCATTATCAGTGTCGTCTTCAGTGACATCAAATTCGTCGGTACCAATATGTGTACCAACAGCACCGAAATTGAAGTCGATATCGTTAGAAAATCAAACCAAATCTCTACAACAGAACAATAATTATAATAAAAATAATAAGAATCATCGCCGGTCTAAATTAAAGCTTCGAGCTGCGGCATTACTCGAATCATTACAACAACGAATGGAGTCTGAAGCACCCGAAGATGAAGAACATTATTTTGGACAGATTGTTGCATCTACAATGAGAAGACTTCCTCTTCAGCAACGTGCAATCATCCGTATGGATATTTTGCGCCTATTGTATAATGCCGAATACAACAGGGAATAAGACGGTTATAAAATCAGAAAAAATATATATTCATATTTACTGTAATTATAGTTTAAATTTATTTTTATACTGAAATGATAAATATATAGTTAATAAAACTATTATATGCAAAATCATCCAAGAAACTATTGGATCTTGCACATCCTAACAAGATAACATACAAATGATGAATAATGCATGAAGAATATGATAGAATTAAATAGATGATTATTTCATCCCTTACAGCATCGTTATCAATGAATCATATTAATAAGTATAATGTCGTGGTCATTTAGTTCTGGTCACAATTTCTTTCAATCTGTTATTATCTAATATAAATCTACACAATTTTATAAAGATAATACTGTAAAAGCAAGAATTCTACTAGTTAAAAGTGAACGATTTATAGTTTTCTTCTATCCTCTTGGTTCTGGAAAATTAGATAAAAATTTTCGATTTAAGTGGCAGTAACTTTACTAGATAAGATCTTATCGTATTTGGTATAAAGGAAGGACCCTCATCTTAACGAAACAGTGAATTACATCATTGTTCTCG